GCGCCAGCCAACCTATCAGTTCCATCAGAAATAAACACAGAAGAATCTAGTTCCATGGCTCTGGTGAAAATGAAAACATTTTACCGGAGCAAAACACTCAAGGTTGTGAGCCGGGTAAAGTACGCATGTGTCTCCTAGGTACAATTTACGGCCAAGAAAACAATTTTTTTTTGAAACGCTGGAAAATTTACCTGTTATGTGTTTCCTTCTTGTCGACTTTTAGTAAGTATAGAGATGTGATTTTGTTTTGAATATTTGTTGTATTATTTTTATACGGGAAATATGTATTTTTGGAATAAGGGTGAAGGTGTAGAGTTTAGGAATAAACCCATATTTATGTTTATATGTTTTTTGTCAACTAGTGGGTCGACCTCGACTCGACAAGAAATAAACCAGTTATGAAGTAAATGGTATTTGGTTTGCACCCCCAGTTATCACAGTACTTGTTTAGCGTGAGAAGAAGGGGTCCTGAGTTAATGGCGTATGTCACAAAATCATTATTTACTGTGGTTCATATCATCAGTATTTACTGATGACTCTGTCAGTGTTAGTGCATTTCTTCGTAACGTTATAAATCAATAATCACTAACGTCCAGGCTATATGATTAATGAATATCACATATATGAAACAGGTTATGCAGAGCTCTGTTAATCGATAGCAGATTCAGCCGATAGCGAACGATATGCAGCAACTGATCTAAGCCATTCCACGCAGCGCGAACTCTTAGCAGCTAAGCACAACTATACCCTATTCGTAGTCCATTTACCCCCCAACATAACAAAGATGCAGTGCGGCAAAGCGGCAGCCGCCTAAGCATTGCAATAGCTATTGGTCATTCGGACATAAAATTACGAACAAGTGCAGGATAGAACTCAGGCTCAGGATATCGCCGGCACGCCGACGCCGACAATTGCTGTTCATATTCGGTGCATACATAGCGTGTGTTTTCACGTTAGCATGTCGCCTCCGGATATAGCAGATGAAACTGAGAATATTTCTTAGAATGCTTCCATCAGCCATGCTTCCTCTTCAGTGATATCTCCTCCCCGAAAACGTGACAAGGGACATTTGAATATTCAGGAAAAATAAAGTATCCTTAACGTTTATAAGAGCGAAATTTTACAGCATCCTGAAATGAAAATTCATGATATTGAAAATCGTGTGGCGAACAAAATAGGCTTATTTTCCAAGGTAATTTTCAACATTGTTAAAGAATATAAAAAAATACAAAAAAAATGTCGCCACCACACAAGATGCTGCCTTACACGAATATGTTGGATACAGTTGATAACTTTGATCGGAGTGCCATCAGACGAAAAATCCGTCAATTTTTTGAAAGGCAGGAACTTCTCACCATAGGTAAACTATTATAGGAGGTTAATAGTGCTGAAAATATACCTATTTTCAAAAGGACCACATTCTATAGGTTGCTCAAAGAACTTCATTCTGAGTATAGAAAAGGGGGCAGAAATAGTATTTTGATGGACAGCCAAGAGATTGTTCATGGAGAAGAAACTATTTAAAATCAATAAAGAAATACCGCGACCGGGGCAGGAAGATTTATTACTTGGATGAAACGTGGATAAATGCAGGACATACAAAACCTAAATTATGGGCTAAGAGCCGTTTTACACACAAGAGAATTACTCCGAAAATTATGGTCATAATTATGCCGAAAATTACATGTAAAAGAATTCTTGTGAAAATGTTCATGGTAAAAATATAAAACCCGTTCTATAGAATATGCGCGTGAATCGGCGCAGAGGGTTATTTCCGTGCATGTCAATATCAAATGTCAACGTCAACAACATAACCTCACTTAACATTTGTGGGTGTGGTCCTGTTCGAGTCGCATGAAGGAGCGTTTATTGTTATTGTTTATTCATAATGTCGTGGAATCGGGAAGAAGCGAAGAAGTTACACTGTTGTTGGAGGAGTACCAAAAATGGCCAAACCTGTACAAGGTGAAGTCACCCAATTACAAAAACAGAAATTTGCGGCGCCATGCGCTGGATGCGATAGTCCAAGCATTGAGAAGTTTTATAATATTAACCAAGATCTCGATTTCAAAAATAAATTTAAATCAACGACGTCTGTAGTCTTTCCGATTATATTGGACGTCATACCCGTTAAGGTTATGTCCATTCGAAAATATTACTCTAATGCGCAGGCGTATCATATAAATTACTCCGCAATTTTGTTTGCTTGTGTCATACAGGTTGTAGAGAAAATCTTCAATATTTTGTCCATGCAAATTTTCGGCGTAATTATGACCATAACTTTCGGAGTAATTCTCTTGTGTGTAAAACGACTCTAACTCTACAATTAAGTCAGGAAGACAAGCCTTCTTAGATGTACTAACCACTGGCCTAAAGAATCCGTCAGGTACGTGTATCTAACCAATTCGTCATTTGTGTTGTAAAAATGGTGTCAACTAGACTGAATAAATGATTTGGGCAAATATAAAAAAAAACTATGTGGCTTCAAACAATAGAATATTCAAATTTTCTGACGTGAAAAATTTCTTTTATGAAGCTATCAACAGAGTGACGGCAAACCATTGGAAAGATTGCATCCGTGAAGTTCAAGAGACAATCGAAACAAAGATGTGGGATCTGGACTATATGATCGATAATCAAACTGAACCTGTAATAATTAATATTAACCATTTGGATTCAAGTACTTCCAGCGACTAAAGAATTGTGAAAAGTATGTGCACTTCTTTCTATAAAAATAAGCATCTATTTTGTTAGATTATTCCAAGGCCATTGAGGAAAATACGGACCTGTACAATCTCGCTTTTGGGCACTGTTGTTTTGTCTGGGCGTAAATGGACTACGAATAGGGTATAAACATAACCACTGGACATAGACGTACAAAAGATGACAAAGACGCCAAAATAACCGGCATGGCATTTTGTGATTTATTCCAAAATACCTAAAAAGATTTGCGATTTCGATCTTTCGTTCGCTTATACGTGGAACGAAAAACACTTACCATTTTCTTTTGTTCCTGCTTCCGCTTTTCTTCACTTTCCTTCTTTGCCTGCTTTTCTTCTTGCTCTTTCTTTTTCTTTGCTTCCTTTGATTCTCTGTCATCTTTTTTGCTCTCTTTATCTTTCTCTTTTTTCGGCGAATGTACAATCTGTTCTTTCTCCTGTTCAGTTACTGGTACCTGCGGAATATGCCTGATTTAATATGTCGTTTTAAACCCTTTTTATTACTTCTGTCACTTTCGAGGGTTTCTCTCGAAATCTATTAAAACACGTATAGGTCCTTTCAGCTATTTTGTGCGGGTTACAGTAAAACTACCATTCTCCGTTTTTTACCCCTAACACCCATAAACATCTGAATGTGGACGTTTGTTTGTGTACTTGCTCACAGGCATACGTCTGTTAGTCCCGTATCGTCAGTCGACCCTACAAGTGTAGGGTGCCTTTATGGCCTCCTTGATTGTCATAGTTTTCTACTTCTCCGTGTCAGAACTCTATTTTGAGGTTATGTCACAAACGTCTATTTGCATCAAATTGTGCTTGCTTTTGGGTTATATCATGTTTTATCAGCCTGAAATTTCCTACAATTTAAAAAAAAAACATATCTTCACAATAGGAGAGCGCTGACGCTAACACGGGACAAGTGTAATCTAGAAATTTTTGAAGGAGAGAAAGGAGTATGACAATCAAGGAGGCCATAAACGCGCCCTACAATTGTAGGGACGACTGACGATACGGGCCTTAGTTTCAACTCAAGGCTTCAAGAATGATTTGCTCATGTATGATTTTTATACAACTATACTTGCCATGCGTGTGCGATTTAAGTTCACTCTTTTGTTTGTACAAGTAGTGGACAATGTCAACCGTTTGTGCCGAACTTATTGGAGTTTCAGAAATGGACGAATAAAAAAAATGATATTACCCGCCTCATGTGGGCAAGAGCGAGTAGCAGCTCTGTTAACTATAAATTTAGCTTAACCTATGATTACAGTAAGAGCCAGATTTATAGACCTTCCTTGAGACTTCCATGGAAACAATGGATCTCTCCTTGGAAACAGTGAAACAATGACGCTTCCTTGAGGAACGTTCAAGGGAGGATTTAAATGTTCATTTCTCAGTGAGCTGTAACAGTTGTTATTACATGCTGTCGCCGATGTCAGAAATATCTTCCTTTTGTGGCTCAATGCAAAATAACAATATGTGTTTGTTCCTCAAATTACAGCAAAATTACAGAGAAGTAAAAAAAACATAATAAAGGCAATCAATTGCACCGAACTGCTCTGCTACTTCTTATCTGTTTTTATTTTCAATGATCTCTTTAAATTTGTCTAGTATCTCGACCAAATGCATCTTCCCTCTCGCTAAACTATTTCTTTCCATAGTCACGCATTATAATCTAAGAATCAATCAAGAAAATTGGGAAATCATTGAAAACCTAATGATTATTCAAGCTAAGAGCTCCCGCAGACTTCCAATTTCAGGTTGGCCAACTATCGAACAATTAAATTGCGTACTTTTACAATTGAATCGGGTAACTATATTGAGTTGGTTGCCAGTCGCAGACCTATTGATTTAGTCGGTGACAGTGTTGCTAGTATAGTGACGTGTGCGTGAAAATGAGAAAAAAGAACGTTCTACTTGCTCTTATATTAAAGAGAAGACGAACACAAAAGAGAGAATTCTGGGTACATCCTTTAATAAGTGACAGACTAGTGTATGGGCAACATCATACATTGCATTCTAAACTAAGATGTTACCCAGAAAAGTTCTTTAAATTCTACCGAATGAGTATTTCTTCTTTTGATGAACTTGTGCATCAAATCGGGCCAGCAATTATCAAACAGGACACGACTTTCCGACTTGCCATCACTGTTCAAGAGAGAGTTGGCTTAACACTTCGGTAGGTACCTATACACTTTATTACAAATACATCTCATTTATCGATATATTTTTTATTAATGTTTTACTTATATTCAAAATGTTTTACTTATAATCAAAATGTTGTACTTTTAATCAAAATTAAAGACTAATTAGTATTTTTTTCTTTTACAAATCAATAAGTTCTGAATCTGACTGCTCTGAGAATTTTGCCCAATATGAAGAAATGGTACTATCATGTGGAGATGGAGTTGAACATTGCGGAGGTGGTGTTTGACTTTCCGCAGACGGACTTGAAAGCTGTAGAAAAGATGGTAACTGTTTCTTGTGGCTCTGTGATATATTGCTGTTGAAGGTCTGTCACATGCTGTGAAAAAATTGCCTGATTTGTGGATTGGACTGGTTTTGGCTGAATAATTTCATCAGCAATAATCCGAATGGAAGTTGAAGGGGCAACCCGCTTAGGCGGACGGGAGCTTCTAGAAAATTGTGAAGTGCTAGGCTGAATGTTATACATTGTATTTGGCAATAATCTTTTCTTCTTCGTATCTTGGAATATTTGTAAAATTCTTATACGCACTTCTAATTTTTCGTCAGACGTCAGCTCTTTCATAAAAGGAACCAAAGATAAGCAATAATTAGTATCGTCGTCTTCATTAGATTGAAGCGCCTTTAATACTTGTTCATCATAGTCGCTTTGATTAGTTTTTCGTTTTCGTTGCGGCTGTGATTGTGCTTCTTCTGATAAATCAGCGTCATCTTGGTTTGATTCACTTTCAATACTGCCTTCAGTAGGCCGTGATTGCATACAAGGGGCCAAAAACAACATGAGCTCAAAGTAAACATATGGTCGTCGTTTAGGAGCTGCTTATCCAGATTTAACAGAGTTTTGAGCTTTAAGTTCTCTAGCGAAGCAGGTCCGCAAATTGTTCCGTTTTTTTTGGATGTCATGACCTAAAAAAAAAAAATAGTTATTGGGAATAATTTTATTAATTTCATAATTAACACTAATGGTGTTTCGACACGGTCGAATCGGTTTGATCAAACACGTAGTTTCCTTTGTTCTCTAGGGCATTTGTTGATGCGCGTTCACTCACTTGCGTATGCTTCTGTATATTTCATCCCAGTCACACATGAATGACTGAATTAATGTTTGTGAACTATCATAAACTGCGTGGAAACTGCCAGAGAGAATGTAAAAAACTACGTGTTTGGTTCAAACTGTTTGTCCGTGTCGGAACACCTTAATACAGGTGATTTTATTTCAAAACAACGTCCACAACATATATTTTGTTGCGATAAACTGTTTGTAATTATACATGTTTTTGTTGCAGGTATTTAGCAACAGGGGCATACTTGTCTCAACTTTCGTTTGACTACTTAATTGGTGAATCTACAATCAGAGATATAGTGAAATCTACTTGTAAGCAAATATGGAATGTACTTCATTCCCAATATATGCCTGAAAAGACTGAAGAAGATTGGATTCAAATTTCTAATGAGTTCTATGAACGTACAAACTTTCCAAACGTCATAGGAGCGATAGATGGGAAACACATACGAATCATTCAACCGCAAAAATCTGGAACTTCATTTTTTAACTACAAGAAATGTTTTTCTTGCGTTTTGATGGCTTGGACCGATGCTGACTACAAGTTTGTCCATATTGATGTAGGTTCCTACGGAAGCAGTAGTGATTCTGAGATATTTCAGTCATCACAGATGGGCAAGATGTTAATTGAAAACAAACTTAACATTCCCAGTGGAAAACCCTTCCCTAATGAAGATAACGGGACTGTCATGCCATTTTGCGTTGTCGGTGATGAAGCATTTGGTCTTTCAAGTCACATATTACGTCCGTACTCTAAGAAAAATTTGAACTACGCAAAACGTATATTTAACTACAGACATACTCGAGCACGTCGATTAGTGGAATGCACGTTCGGCATTTTGGCAAATAAGTGGCGTATATTTCATCGTCCTATAAATGTCCATATAAATTTTGCCGTTAAGATTATAAGGCAGCATTATTCTACACAACTACGTTCGATCAAAAGACGGAATAACTTTTAAGGATACTTTGTACGAATGTCCTCTGGATGGATATCATCACTCAGAAAACAATACTGGAAGTAATATCACAAACGGTGTAAATGTTCGGCAGTATCTGACATCTTATTTTGTTCAACCCCATGGATCTGTTCCGTTTCAATTTGATAAAGTGTAGACCTACCACATAAAAGAACATAAAATAAACTTTTGACTCACCTTGATCTTTTCTTTCATTCGCACTGAGTTTTCCCCAATTGCTTATTAGTGCTTCGCACACTTCCTCCCATAATTTTTTTTTAACATTAATGTCAAGAGTATTGCTTCATATCTTTTTTGTATAGCGCTGGCCTTTTTGACACTTCATCTATGAGCTCTTCCACTTTTTCATTTGCAACAAATGATCGGGGGGCCGGCGGCGGCGCCGGAGAATCACGCGCACTCATGTGGTCCTCTTGCATTTTGCCGTGCGACTAACCAACTAAGTTGGATAGTCGGCGGGCTTGCATAGGCTATAGTGGCTAATAAACAGTCGGCCGATAGTTGGACAACATTTTAATTGGGTGGGAATCTTGGTTCTGATACGATCGGTGTCCAATTAATTAGTTGGACGATTTAATTGGATAAGATGTGCGCGCTATCATTAAGTTACTGTTCTATTGCTTTACAGTGCAATTTAGTTGGCCAACCTGAAATTGGAAGTCTGCGGGAGCTCTAAGCGTATTTGACAGTTTGCTTGAGCATGGAGCACGTACAGCATAAGAAATATCTCAAGTACCAAAAGAGACAGGCACTCCTCTCCGCCATCTTTATTCCAACAGCTATTGACAGTTAGCTGTGTGAGAGAAAATGGCTTATGAAAACACGTTTTTGAACTTACATTTCTTTACCATCCGTACTTTGTGGTGGCCCCTTCAAAAGAAACTGCAGTGTTGCCTAATTGTTATCTTTGACAGTTAACTCTATGGATAAAAATGGCGGATGAAAATACGTTTCTTTTGCTTAATTGACTTTCACTACTCTATCATTTTGAACTTGACAGCTCACACGCCGCAAATTTATATTATCGTTTAACAGTGTTTATCCATGAAAAAATATTGTTTTATTTAATTAGTAGTGCACAGACCAGTTTTCAGTGTGTTCAGTGAGTTTTTTGAGAAGTATCTGTTCAAAAACAATTAACAAGGGTGGAAGTTAGTTCAACGCAATCACGCCTTATATTAAAATCGTGATTCTTCAAAATGCTAATTAGTCGTACCAACCTAGGTCACAGAACTCGCAATGCTGCAAGTCAAAGATATATACGAAGAAGTTAAACTGACGTGCAACGAGAAGCTAGAAATGAAGTTGAGCGGATGGAAGGAATGAAATTCAGCAACGTAGAAGTGTCGGATTTAATCCCAATCGAGCTGCAATCAATTATGACGTGGCAATGGATTACACTTCTCTGAGATTATGCTGCAATTCGAGGAAGCAAACATTATCATTTTGCATTGTTTATTGATATTTAGCGGAAATAAACCAAATCGTTCCAATTCTATAATCAAAATGCTAAACAGAAAAAAATCTTTGTGACATCGATGACAGCTTGTGATGACTACTGTTACAGTCTACTGTGAAATGAAAATTTAAATCTTCCCTTGAACGTTCCTCAAGGAAGCGTCATTGTTACACTGTTTCTAACGAGAGGTCCATTGTTTCCAAGAAAACCGCGAGGAAGGTCTATAAATCTGACTCTCGAGTCAATCTTTCGTTTGGAATTGAGATTTAATCTCCAAAATCGGTGAAAAGATCTATAACTCATCAGTTGTTCATTTTCATAACTGACTGGTTTGTATCTTGAATATTTATGAAACGAAAAACACATCAATTTTTTTCATCTTAATTTTTTATTGAAACTTAGAAATTATGTATGAAAAATAATATCAGACAAATGTCCGCCTCTTGAAGCCGCGCAAACCTGAGCCTTCTTGATCACACTTTCATTTCCATCACTTTTTGGTAGGTTTCGGGAGGAATATTTTCAATCGCTTCCGTAATATGGTTCTTCAGTTGCTCTACAGTATTTGGTTTGTTGGCATAAGCCCTATTTTTCAAAAATCCCCATAAAAAAGTCAGTAGCCGTTAAATCCGGTGACCTTGGTGGCCAGTTGACATCACCAAATCGAGGAATTAAACGTCCCGGAAATATTGTTCGCAAAAGATTCACTGTTTCCCTAGCTGTGTGACAAGTTGCTCCATCCTGCTGGAACCACATGTTTTGCAGGTTAAATTGTTGAATTTGAGGTGCCAGAAAGTCTTGCACCTTAATATCACGATAGCATTCGGCCTTGAAAGTAAGCCAATTACTTGTAGCGTCTTCAAAGAAGTAAGGTCCAATGCACACCTCCATACCCAACACCGCACCAAACTGTGACTCGACGAGGATGTAGTGGTCGTTGGTGGATGACACGAGGGTTCTCTAATGCCCAGATACGACAATTCATTCTGCTTATTAACAACTCCGTTCATGTCGAAGTGGGCTTCGTCGCTCACTATCAGTTGTCGGTAAAAATCGTTATTTTGGGTATTGAGAAGGATACAGGTATGGCATGACTGTATTGTCGGCCACTTTCATGGTCACAAGGCTGTATTTCTTGGGTTAACTGAATCTTGTATGGCAAGTCTTTTTTTTAAATAGTGCGACGAATGCCCAGTTCTTGAGAACGATGACTGGTAGATGTCTCAGGGCGCTACACTACACTGTAACGAACTCTTTCGATATTTTCCGGAGTACGAACAGTTCGAACATGGTCCGACCTTGGCAAGTCTTTAACTTCAGCTGTTTGTTCAAATTTCCGTACCAACTGATGAATGGTGTTGACACTGGGCACATTATTTCGACCGAAATCTTGACATAGCTTCCAAATCGTTGCAACAATCGACTTATTTAAGTAAAACGTTTGAACAATACGGACGCGTTGTGGGATCGTGTAGCGCTCCATGATGAATTGGACACATACGCTTTAAACAATTGCTACGGCGCCACCTACCAAATGCGTGTATTAAAAATTGCGCGCAATTTAAATCAGTCAGTTATATATTGGACGTAAAGTGATATCTACACGCGAAGAAGGGTTGAGTATCCGAGAAACAGCGAAGCAACTCCATGGCTAAAGCAAAGAGAAGGTACATATATCAAGAGAAAACAGTCAAAGCGAATAAAAGTAGAGAGAGATAGACTGGCCAAACCAATTCAAGGAGGCAAAATGATGTTTAATCACGATTTATTTGGCGAGAGATCAATGCAGAGTTGCCAGAGATTTTTTTTTTAGAAAAATTAATGTTATGTTAAAGCAAATGATGTTTTTCACAAAACGTATACACTGCGAGTTGGAAAATGTTTATGTAAGTGTATCGATCAGAGCAATCACAAAACGTATTCGACATTCTCACGATTCTATCATGTTCTCCTGTGAATTCCAATTGATATTCGTATTTAAGCCAATGAGTTTGTTGAAGTGCGAGTCGAGTCACATATATTCTATAGTGTGCAACAAATTTTGGAAAATAAATGTGGTAAATATGCAATATTAATAAAACTGTATTACTTCAGCTCATTATAAACATAACCGATTCTAAATGGCCGCTTCATCGACTTTCTGCCCTCGGTTTAGCGATTCGTTCAAAGATGGCTCTGGGATTGATATAAAACGTGGTAAAATAGACGACCAGAAATGCACTGTCAACCCAACCCAATTCAAGGAACAAAATTAATGAAGGTGACCAGCAAACTTCAAAGACATTCTTTGGTTAAAAGTTGAAGAGATTTGAGAAGGGTTTCATCTTACCTGTGGAACATTTTGGCTGACGGGTGGTGTCTGGTTCTGTTGCTGTGAAAGGGGTGCAACCGGTGCAGCAGATGGTGGTTGAGATATGGGCGAAGCAGATTTCTGGATGTCCCACATAGACAATGGCACATCGTTGGGCGCCGACCATTGGCCGGCTGGAGGCGCTGACGGAGGAATGCCGAATTGATTCTGTTGCCACAACGAATCTGTAATAGAAAAGATTAGTAAAGTTGCTGACTTGCACGCATTAAGGGTTAACACCACTATGAATTTTTCCAATTTGGAGCTGTCTCCAAGCGCATCCAACTGCTCCGAAACGACAGCTGTCTCAGATGAATACCAGCTGGAAAGTTATAGCCTAATGTCTTAGCCTTGGATTTCTATATTCTTAAATAGAGTAACAGAGGCATTTAAGTTCAGGCAGCAGAATAATGGTAAACATTTACATTATCCATTTTTTATTCCATCCTTTCTATAATAATAAAGCATTTATTGCCCATAAGTACAGACACCATTTAGAGAGCAATACGTAGTACAGTTATTTAATTTACACAGTATGTGTGCCATGAAGTGATAAAAAACACAAAAGAGAGAAAGGCGCTGTAAGCAGAGAGAAAAAACTATCACTATCATTCATATAGCATAGATATTTCAGAAACTTCTTTTGCACTTTTTCAATATTATTTTTGTAGAGTTCATACATAGGACTCCAAATGATTGCACCATATTCTAATTTACTAATAACAAGCACAGAAAATACCTTAATAAGTGTTGTGATATTGAAACTTCTATAATTAAAATGCGACATTTAGGTTTGTTCAAACTCAAATTTTTATTAGTACACCATATTTGTAAAAAACAAATATTTGTTAGAGGTTCTCACAATCTTGACAGCTAAAAATAGATGTGTCAAGCTTCAGGTCATCAGCATACATAAACATAAGCTTGTTGCATGATAATGAACTGCAAAGATCGTTGACGTATAAGGCAAACAATAAGGGACCCAAAATGGAACCTTGAAGTACACCACTACTTGACATGTATGTGTGAGAACTAAATCCATTATAGGACACAAACTGAGTTGTCAAGTCTAGATACGACTTGAGACGATCCAAGTAAGTTTTTTTTGTTGTGTTGTATTCATATTTTCATTTCAACACGCGTTTTTCTCGATACACGAGTTTTCAAAACGGTAGGTAGAATAACATTTCGATGATATACGAAGAGGATTTTCTTTAAGTTGATCATCATTAATTAACAAATAATTGTTCTCTCGAAAATAGAACGTTTTAATTCAAATACTCGCGAACCACACAAAAAATATGTACAAGTGTGTTTTTGTTTTGTTTTCCTAGATCCAATTTCCAGCAACTATACGGCCTCAAATAAACTGATTCCGTGCTATTTTAAAATATTTTTTACGGTAACATTTACTGTTATTCATGCTTAATAACTTTAATATTGTCCTTTTATTACTTTTCTTCGCCAAAAAACCCTTTTAGTTCGTTACAGTGGTCTTACCCTGAATCAGTCTCCAAATTACGTACATACCGAGTATTTCAAATTCCACTACCACCATTGGGATCTCAGTCTCAAGTGGGGGCATTTAGGCAACTAAAAAGATATCATTTAAAAAGTATCGCGATCCAGAATACTTATTTGTGGAGATGGAAAAAAACCTATCTTCCCAAAATCGATTTTATTTTTTCTTGCATTTATTTTAGGTGGGATTTAACAAAATAAATTGTACATCGGCATTCAAATTTGTTCTCTACCAAATGGTATGTTTAAAATTTTATATGGCAATTTGTCTCTTGTCCTCATTTACAACTTCATTTTTTTCTTAAGGACGCTGTAATGAATTTCTGTGCAGATGAATAGTTTTTCTTTCTGATTTCAAAAATGTCATGCATTAATATTGCTAAACTTTCGGTAGTACAAAAACCCTGATATTCTCATAGTTTATATTGAAAATGACAGCAGCACACGGCACACTTTATCGATTACAAGTGGCTATAACCGGCCGCGTGGTTGTGGTTAGACGTCTCCTTGAAAATTCGAGGTCGTATAGCCATTTTATACTACAATGTGTAGGTTGGCTCTTGTTGTGGACTTCGTGTGTCGTTTTTTTTCCCTCCAACTTCGTTTCCTCAGGTTACACCCGTATCCGGATGTGTGGGCATGTGTATCTACTTTTGTAGTTTCATATGTGCATTCATTTCGGGCCAGATGAAGCCAACCAGCAGAAATACGTATCGCTCGGGTTACCTATCCTATTTTCTGCTCGAATCCACTTTCCTCCTTTTTGCGGATTTTGCCCATTATTTTCCTACTTGTTGTTATATACCTTTCTCCGCATGATCATATTCTCTTTATATATATATATATATATAGCACATAAGCATTTGGACACTGCTTTAGAACTGTTAAATAGTGATATTAACAAAAAATTACGAATTGGTTAAATGTCAATAAACGTGAATTAAACACTAATAAAACAAAATGTATGTCAATAGGGAAACATTTAGGTGACAATACAATTAGGCTCATGATTAATGATGATAAAATTGTAGTAGTCATTTAAATATTCTGGTATATATGTGGATTGTAAGCTACTGTTTCACGAACATTATGAATACATTATTTCAAAAATATCGAAAAAGATATATTACTTCTATAGAGTTTCCCATAATCTCAGAATGTATTCCAAAAAAAATTGTGCATAACACTATAATTCTTCCTCATTTTTTATATTGTTCAACCATCTTGTTTACAGCAAATGAAAACATATTTTCAAAATTACAAATTCTACAGAATAAAGCTATGAGAATCATTTTAAATAAAAACAAATATACTAAGATTAAGTCTATGTTAGAAAAACTGCAGTGGTTGGATGTGAAAAATTTCATATATTATTTAGTTCTCGTTTTCATATTCAAATTAAAAAATCATTTATTACCACCACATTTAGAGAACTTCACAAAATTAAATAGTCATTATCATAACTACGAAACTAGAGGCAGTATAGATTTTCATCTGCAAAATTGTAATAGTAGCATAACTAGTAAATCTATATTTCAAAAGGGAGTATTTGAATTTAATAAATTGAATAATGATATTAAACAATGTTCGAATTTAAAAATGTTTAAAGTGAAATTAAAAATCACTTTATGAATAATCAAAATACATAGTGACGTAATTTTAGTTTTAATAGACAAGAAAGTAGAATTACAGAAAATGGATTGAGGAAAAATATGTAAGCTCTATTTAATGAAATTTTTATTTCTAGTATAATTATAGTATTTTAACTTTAATGACATTATACATTTTTGAAAACACAATTGAAAATTCTATTCACCTGTACAAAAAGTTATTATGGTTGAAATTATAATTACGCCATCTTGTGGAGGAGTGCCATTGTTAATGTGTAATTTATTTTGGAAGCCTACCAGGAAAAAATAAAAACGCTCTTGGGAATATCTCCTGAAATCTCTGAATTGTGAAGCTTCCCAAGTGTCATTTTCTTAGTTACCTTAACGCGCAACTGCTTCCATTTAACCGACTTAGTATCTCTTACCGTTTCCGAGCTCCTAATGGTGATAGTCAAACACCCAGTATGTATGTCGGTGATTCCATCAAAAATATACAGCCATTATTATAGGTACTTGAAACGGTAACACTGTTCTTGAAGCTTCCAAGGACTTGGTAAAGTGAGGGATGGGGGTCAAAGCTGGCCGTTGATCCTGGTTAGGCAGCATGGAGGAGAGTGTTGCCATTATGTACTCTTTGATAATGGCTGTAAAACTTTTGATTTGCCGCATTTCCTATTGCTTTTCAAAATCATACCGATTTGTTGCGACTGCTGTTTCTGCTGCTGCAACTGTTTCAGCAGACTACTGATCGGGTCTTGGTCCTGTTGAGGCGTTCCCCCTGGAGCCCCGGGTATCTGGTCAGGGGGCGGCCTAGGCAATGCCGCCGCCCCCGAAGTTGCGATGCCGGTCAGCGGAAGTCCGTTGGGACCCAAGGATACAGCGGCGGCGGCGGCTTGCAGGCTAGGGATTGTCTCGGGAGGCACGCCGCCAGTTATCGGAGGCGCGAGCCCTGACGCAGAATAGTGATGTGTTAAATTGTGCTTTAAATTTTTTTGGTTAAGGTCATCATACAAATTTACTGCCATAAGTTGGATGTTAAAATTGAACTGCTATCACCGGGTGTTTCAAATTCGACCCTCACCATTGGGATCTCGGACACTGTAAGAGATAGGAAGTTGCTTGAATTGGGGCAAAGTTGCCTATTAAGGTAATTAACAAAATGCCGCTTAGAACGTTTCCATATTCGAAGTACTTCCGGAGAGAAACGGATAAAACCGATTTTTCCAACAATAGATTTTATTTTTTCTAGACTTTATTTGTAGTGGGATTTCGAAATAGACTGCACATTAACGTTGTCATTTCTTCTCGTTTACAAGGTGACAATCAGAATTTCAATATGACGTTTCGTCCCTTGTCCTCCAGAATCAACTTTATTTTTCATTATGGACGCCATATTGGATTTATGCACAGATGAATAGAGTTTTTAATTCAGATTCCAAAAATGTATAATACGTCATACGTTGACATTGCCAAACACTAGTTATTTCAAAAAAGCAGAATTTCCTGGGTAGGCCGTGAGATTATCAGATAGTTACTTGTTTTTCGCAAACTTTTTCCTGACTTCATTTGTGATTTCCAAAAAAAAATTGCATTTTGTTAATATTACTTATTCTCCTCTACAAGTTGGCGTAGTCAAATTTACAATTCGAGATTTCCTCTTTCGACTTCCATCACCAACATTTTTTTTTTCATATGGACTATATATTCGAATTATGTACATTTCAGTAGACTTTTCACTTCTAAATTCAGGTATGTATTTTCTTGGTTGGTCAGTAATTTGTTGTTGGATGTAAATTATAAGGAAATAAGAAGGTATGGTCGAACCTGAACACAAAATGACAATTTTGTTGATGGTAATAAGAATAATAATCATAAATAAGCAGAGATAAATCATAGCAGATGTTCAAAATGTTGTAAGCTATATTGTAGGCAAGGTCTGACTCTTCTCTGAACATTCTTCACTGGTCGATTTATTTCCCTGCTTCTCAGATTCCAAACTCTGTTACTATGTTAAATTTGAGGTCTGGTCTGGTACACGAAACAAATGACTATCTTATAATTTCAAGGCTTACCTAGGTACTTCTGTTTTTCTCAAATAAGTAAAGTTTGTTAATGTCAACGTATGGCATATACATTTTTAGAATCAGAATTAAAAACTTCATTCACCTGTGCAAAAATCCAATATGGCGCCTATAATAAAAAATAATGATGATAGTGGACAAAAGACGAAACGTCATATTTAAATTCTAATTATGCCATCTTGTAGACTGGAGAAAATGACAAGGTTAATGTGCAATTTAATTTGAAATCCCACTATAAATATAACAAAAACGTTAAATCGATTTCGGGAAAATTCGTTTTTTTCTGCCTCTCTCCAGAAGTACTTTGGATTTCGAAACTTTCTAAGCGGCACTTTGTTGGTTACCTATATAAGCAATTTTGCCCCATTTAAGCGACTTCATATCTCATACCGCTTCCGAGATCCCAATGGTGAGGATCGAATTTCAAACACCTTGTATATCAACTAGGTTTTATAAGATCTAAATATTTTCATTGTACACTATAATTTAATTTAACGTAAGCTAATGATCCGCATGTTTCATACTCATTTTAAAAATAATACTTTGTAACATCTAGTAGCCTGGTGTCAAATTAGCACACTAAAATGAATCCAATACAAAGCAGATTTGTCATATACACTGGCCCATTTTAGTTTTACTAGGGGCAAGGGGTTAACGGATATTGATTGTTTCCTTTCTTCTAGTACTGAAAATGTTTTACAGTACTTTTCCGATTATCGAAATACCCAAAAAAGGTAGCTACATGACGAGCTATACGTACATATTCTCGAGTACTGAAGAGACTAGCGGAACACATCGCATGCCATTGGCTAGCGCGGTATCTCCTTGAATACGGCGGGATACTCACGCTCCGACTTTGTCAATTCAAAGAAACGCCGCGTGCGATGTGTTTTGTTGCTCTCTTCCTTTTCGTACCGGGGCATATTATTTATTAGTTATGTATTACTTGTTTTCAAATATTTCGGAATATAAACTTCAAGATATTGACAATGAAGTTAGCAGGATACAATTTCAAATGACCTAGTTTGTTTTATTATTTGCCTAGGGCTTCTCAGTGGGGCAGTGTGGTCAATAATTGCGAATTATCTGCACTTCAGCTAAGACCGTGGGCGCATATTCGGCATTCGGTAGAATCACTATTCGTTGCAATCTTTAGTTACCTATGATATAAAAAATCTGTCTAGCTGTCGAGGCTTATTAAAGTTTTCAATTTATCATATTTAGTTTACCTGTTGGTAGACTGTTGGCAAGACCAGCAGGAGGAATTCGATTCTGCATTGACAACAAATTACCGACATGCAATTGCAGGTGTGGATCCAAAGTTCCAGGCATATTCGGTGGTTTCGGGTCCACCAATCCTTGGCCTGGAAGCTTATTGGCCTACAAAAATTATGTAATGATGTCCCTGGTGGGAAATACATTTAGAATGATGGTAGGGATATGAAACCAACCTGTTGCATTTGGTTGATCATGTGCATCAGTGGATTGGCCGTCGGTGGCTGTTGCATATACTGAAGATCCTGTGGAACCTGAAAAAAAAAAGAAGTAGACTAACCCTGCACTTCCCACGCAAAGCTGTCGAAAAAATTATGTTCGGTATAAGTTCGCCCTTTTCAGAAATGAGTTAACTACAAACATGTACAACAAACGAAGTAAATAGATTAAGGGTGGATTTCACGATTTAACAAACCATTATTCTGCACCCATAGGGTACGAGTACCAAACAGTCCGTTAAATATACCCAATCAGCCTCAAGATCTCTCCGTCAAATTTTTGGCAGCAAATAGCATCAAGGTATTCAAAACAAAACACTGTAAAATATAAAGTGACAGCTTGCCATTGAAATCTTTTCAGTTTATTAAATATTATGAAATTATGTAAAACTGAGCCAAAATTTTTAAAAATGCTTGATGTCTGAGTAAAATCTATTTTTTCAGATTAGCTGAAGGTTTTTCCATGTTTATTGCAACTTTTGTAATCCATATGTGATTATATCACCTACTGTGTGCTTATAGTTTATCCTACATTTGCAAACTTGCACTTCCAAATCCTTACATGAAAAAGCCTTTTTACTCAAATTTTTGCTAGGTGTTGCATTTCAACACATTCATACACTTCTTTCCAGTTCCTCAACGATATTTTAACCCTACTGGTCCGAAACTGTTCAACAGTTTCAACATTCATACATACAATTGCAGTTGCAGTTTTTTGTTTTAATTTCAGTGTATAATCAGTCGCACCATCGGTGACGGTACATGGTACATTCAACATAACCACGTATTTAGGGGTTAGTGCAGAATTAACGTGTACACGACAGTGTAGTATGTATTTCTTCACAAAAAATCTTGGAGGGAGCACTTTTATACGGAAATTTGTTGTTAAAAAATTCCATTGTCCACACATAACAAAACAAGTGATCACAAAACATAGAATACAGTGACGTTGGAGAAGGAGAATAGACCAAAGGAGATCGGAATTGACATTTGAAATTAGTGTCTCATAATGTTAGTGATGGGAGAAAACATTTCCGATCAGTGGAATGTATTGGAACGGTTAAAAAATATGAATTGAATCGTTTTTACGTTATCTCGACTGAAAGACTGGAATATCTGCTCTGTTTCTGTATATATATTTTTTGTCGTATTGTTGCATAAAGTAGTTGGTTCACGAACTAGTTCCTAGAACTGAACGCAACTTAATTAAACAAACTGGTAAGCACATCACTATTTCAAGTAATCCAAGAAGGGACAAATTGTCATTTCATCACACTAGTGATGGGAGAATCGAAAGCCTAAAGCCTAAGTCCCAATTTCACCAACAACAGTCCGTTATTCTCCACCTATTAGGGCAACAGACCGTTAGATACAGCAACCAATAGCAATGAAATGTTGAAAACAAAATACTGTCAAAGTATGAGATGACAACTTGTCATTGAACATCACCAGCTTATTGAATATTAAGAAATTACATATAATTCAGTCAAAATTTTAAGAAATGTTTGATTTTTGAATTAAATTCATGTTTGTATTATTTTCCCCACAAAAAGAAATCCAGATGGTTCAATTCAGGAGACCTCGCAGGTGAATGCACGGGTCCGTTTCTGCCAATCCATCGTTGTCTAAACTGATTTTAAACTTCATCTTTTTAATGAAGCTCTCGAGGAAAAAATGTTACATAGAAGACCCCTCCCTTAAAATGCGGTCCTGTGTATAATGTTTCATTTTTGGTCACGACTTATGAATCACCCTGTATATCTTCAGTCTGTATGCAATTAATTACACCAATCTTGTTCAGGGCCTGACCGAAACTGTCTTAGTAATAATCCCCCATGCTTGTCAGGCCAATAAAACCACATGTATTGACAGATCTTCAATACCTGTGTTTTTTTTTGGCCAGAAACGCATGGGGAATTATCGTCATGTAAACCACAGAATAAGTTTCAAATGTTACAAAAAGCCAAAATTGGATCTACATTACCAAGCTAAAAAAAATATTTCTGTAGGTGTACCACAAGGTAGTAAACTAGGTCCACTACTATTTATTTAATAGATTAATGACATTTGTAATATTTTAGATTATTGTAAAATTCAGATATTTGCAGATGATTCATTAATATACATATCAGATGAAAATATGGACACTGCTTTAAAAATGCTAAATTCTTACTTGACAAAAATCATAAAATGGTTAAATGTAAATAAACTAAAATTAAATACTTCTAAAGCAAAATGTATGCTAATAGGGAAATACCTAAATGAAAATACCATCACAGTTAGGATAAATGGTGAAATAATTGAAAATGTTGAATCAATTAAATTTTTAGGTATATATATATATATATATATATATATATATATATATTGATAGTAAACTAAAGTTTGAGGATCACTTTGAAAACCTTATTTCAAAAATTGCCAAAAAACAAATTACTTTTATAGGGCTTCTCATAGTCTTGGTACATATTCCAAAAAATAGTTCATAATACAATTATTCTACCTCATTTACTATATTATTCAACTATCTTGTTCACTGCCAATGATAAGTACACCAAAATAAAATCTGTTACAAGAATTGCAGTGGTTGAATTTAAAAAATTTCTATCATATTTGGTTCTTATTTGTGTATTTAAAATAAAAAATCATCTTTTGCCACAACATTTAGAATACTACATAGAATTGAATAATCATTACCATAATTATTATACAAGAGGAAATATAGGTTTTATTTATTTTTTATAACTAGCAAATCAATATTTCAGAAAGGATTACTTGAATTTAATAAATTGAATAATGATATAAAGTCAACTTGTAATTCAAAGATGTTTAAAATAAGATTAAAGGAATATTTCATGGACAGTGAGAAAATTTTTAGAGATGCAAATTTTGTTTTTTTGAAATATATGCTTTTAAGTAATTGTTTAGTTTTTTAAAAGAATATAATAGAATCAATCATGCTAAATAAATCGTAAACACACAAACAAACATTGCTTTAGTATCAGGTCCTTTTGAAGCAATCTGGATGTATCTTCTCAATGTTTTATAATGTTCGTTATGATTGCTTAATAAATATTCTATAAGTATGTAGTTACTTTTATTGAATGCTTATTTTCCGATTCAACTTTGTGTAGAGCTACAGGTTAGATGCGGCTTTCAAAAACTATCCAAAAGATAATTTCAACATTTGTTTATCACATACTAAAATTTGGTTCCCGCCTGAAGTGCGTTTTCAAGGTATTTTATATGACTACCCATTATATTTTATCATTTCAGTTATAAAGTCTACTGATTGTTTTTTCCTGTTTGGGATATTTTATTAGACTTAACAGAAAAGCATATTTATTTTTTCAGACAGAAAATGGTTACACGTCTTGTGCGAAAAGGATATGGCAAACAGCGATGAACAAGCGATGTTAAAATTGCAAAGCATCAACTCCTCTTTTATGGACAGCTCGACCAATGCAGAAGAAAAGTGGATATATTTCTGGAGAAAAATCAGGAATGGTTTGATGTTGAATTTGTTTATGAACACAGCGAAGAATAAATGTATCAATTCGGATGCGAATCACCAACCGGGAACTTCATAATGGGAGAAAAAAGGCACAGAAAGACTGCAAAAGTGTAATCAACATTCAAGAAATGAAAAAACTGACGGTTCAAGAGACATCATACATACAAATTTCAGAACTCAAGTCAACTATTTATATGCTAGGTGATGAAAAATTGCTGTTGGACACGTTTGCGTGATGATTGTGATAGAAGGCAAAGTGTGTAATGCAATAACTGAAACAGTTTCTTCACAAATACGAGAAAAAATAAAAATAATCATTATTTGTTTAATTTAATAGTATTATTTTTATCTGTAAAGCAAAGCCCAAAGAAATAAATGATATCGAAAAAATATACCAGAAAAAAGTTGTTCGGGAATATTTTAAATTTGGATTGTCAAGTTTGCATGCCTGGATCAGGTTTTTTGAACCAATGCTGTATGTTTGACAAATGAGTCGAAAATAGAGCGGTTTCCGTAAGCAAGAAACGATCTATACAGCACAGCTTCAAAGACAGACTAGGTTTGCTCGTTGATGTACATAAAAGTTGAGGTAGTGGAACAAGTAATAATGGAAATACGGCTCGAGAGGATCTTTGTTAACATCAATAGAAGCAATCTCTCCTAGAGTGGTACAGTTTGATAGGCGAAGCAGCTAACGTTCTTCATCTGATGAGGAAGATGACGACGATGTAGACTCAGTATTAATCTTAAGATTCAATCATCCTATATTTAGTGCTATGTAATAAATTTTAACGAGACCAGATTTGTGTTAATATATGGAATATTTCGTACTGGCCAGCTCTCGGTGTACGAAGTTCAAGAAATGGACTGGGAGGTAGAAGCCTGGCGAATTCATCTGCCAGACTGAACGCGCGGCGGCATGGTGGAGGAGAGCTCCGAGGAGCAAAGCCCGTTTGAGAGAAGAGAGCACAGACCGCGAAAGACTGTCTTAGAGAAATGTCATAGATCAGTCAAACAGCACTCATCTGAACAGCATCGAATATGAATAAGTAGTTGGAGCGGCAGAACTCAAGGCTTGGTCTTATCTGGGCTTTGTATGGAGGGAAAAGTACTTCTTACACTACTTATGTTTCTTCAATTAGCGGTCAGATAATCATAGAGCCATTATCAGCATTAAAACCACAGGATAAGTTTCAGGTGTTACATTACACTAAAATGCACTTTTAAACGGGAAGAACAAAATAAATAATATGCTCGGCAGAGGTATTACGTATCTTGAAAAGTGATATTAAACCAGTTTTTAGTATAAAGAAGCAGCCGCGCAGGCAGAAGCCTGAATGCCGGGACACCGCGGCTGCTATGAGGATCCCAAAGAAATAATTTTGTTAATCCGATTTTTGAACTGCCTAAGGTTAGTAGAACTGGGAAAAGCTTCCTCTTGTAGATTATTCCACAATCTCGAAACCCTCGGGACAAAAGAGCGGTCGTATCGGCCAGTTCTGGATGTACGAAGTTCTACACG